ACGATTAGTGTATTGGAGTTTTTCTCCTCTCTAAGTCATGCATTTCAACCTTTCGTGCAGACTGGAACGGATGCCGTTTTTGCGATAAAGTCTGCTTACTCTGGTGCCGGCTTATACGGTTGGTAGTTTGAAGGAAATAGGTGGTTTTGCGCGTTTCTTTAGCAAGCTTCCGTAATGATCCAATGGGGAAGGAGTTGACAATTATCTCTCCATTTTGAGCCTCCACGTATCGCTCTCTCATTCTGGTGCATATTTGGGTCAACTTGTCCATTTACACGATCATTCCTTTCAGTGTATTCACTATTTTCAAATGTTTGGTGGTCCTGACAGAAACGTTCGAAGAGCCAATTGTTTAAGCAGGAGTTGCAGCAGCTTCCACATGGTTTGGCTCACGAATTACGCGATCGGCTATTGATGCTACTTTTGCTAATGCTAGATCTATCTCATGTACGTTGGTGCCCGAATCGGCTTCTACTCAGGAAATATTGCGACCGTTAGCGAGGACTTGCGAGCTCTTCGCCCGACTATCTTCACAAGTGTACCTCGCCTCCTCTGTCGAATATACGACAACGTCTACGAACGCATCTGCAAGTCCACATTCAAGCAATTTGTACTCAAGTGTGCTCTCAAAGAGAAATGCCACAAAGTTGACAAGTATGTGTAATGAAGCGATTTGTATTAACCGATATTTCCTCCACCTGCTGGCATTACCTGTATGCGGATGGCTCCTTTGAAATTAAGATTGGCACCCCTATGTTGTAAATTAGTCCAATCAACTCTTTCGTAATCACAATTTTTTTCAGAAGTTTATTTTAAAATGTCCTGTGTAGCCACACAACTGCGCGATTTAATTATGGTGTTTACTTGCCTTCTCAAGTCTGCTAAGCCACTTGGTTGTATCAATGCACATGAGCCAAAGGCTTGCCAACTGCTATATCATATATTTTTTTCTACCATAAAACAGTTGTGGGGACTGCTTTTACACCAATAACGGATCAGGCATTATTCCTGTAAGGTCACAAATTA